AAAAACCCTGCTTCAAAAAACCAAAAAAAAAAAAAAAAAAAAACCAAGTTGATATAGCCTGGCTGTGGTGGCGTACACATCGGTCATACACGTTTGCTCTACATCCATTTCCCACCACTTTTTCCTATTTTCTGTTTTTTTGGCTATTTAGTTTCTTCCCATGAGACAATATGTGATATATTTTTTCTTCATGGCTGAATAATACTCTGTGCTGTGGGGTGTTGTTCTGTATGCTGTGAACGTGTGTTGCTCTGATTGGTTGATAAATAAAACGCTGATTGGCGAGTAGCCTGGCAGGAAGTATAGGTGAAGTAAGCAGAAGAGAATTCTGGGAAGAGGAAGGCTGAGTCAGGAGTTGCTGCCAGACATAGAGGAAGCAAGATCACAAGGCAGAACTGAGAAAAGGTACCAAGCCACGTGGCTAAACATAGATAAGAATATGGGTTAATTTAAGTGTAAGAGCTAGTCAGTACTAAGCCTGAGCTAATGACCAAGGAGTTATAAATAATATTAAGCCTCTGAATTATTATTTTATCAAAGGCTGCAGGACTGTGGGTAAGAGATTTGTCCTGACCATGGGCCAGGTGGGACACAGGAAAACTTCCGATTACCCTTCCCATTTTCTGTTTTTAGGCTATTTAGTTTCTTCCCATGAGACAATCTGTGACACAGTTTTCTTCATGGCTGTGACATGGTCCAGTGGGATGGACTCATCTTTTGGGTGCAACACTGCCATCTGAGATGTGGGCCCTGGTGCACCCTAAGACTGTGAAGGTCCTTGAAGGCACAAACCAGCTTAGAAACAGCAAGGATAACCAAGAGGCTGTCTTCACCAGTGGTGCCCAACCTCAGGTACCATACTGTGGGACAAAAGCCCAATTGCTGGACGTGAAACAGGACCAGGCATTGTAGCACACACTTTTAATCCCAGCATCAGGAGGCAGAGGCAGGGGATCTCTGTGGGTTTAAGGCCAGCCTGGTCTACAGAGTGAGATCCAGGACAGCCAGGGTTGTGTAGAGAAACCCTGAAGAAAGAAAGAAAGAGGGGGGGGGTAGGTGGTGATGGCAAACACCTTTAGGGAGGAAAAGGCAGGCAGATCTTTGAGTTCAAGGCCAGCCTGGTCAAACAAAGTGAATTCCAAGACGGCCAAGACTGTTATACAGAGAAACCCTATCTCAAAAAGAAAGGAAAATTTTTTAAGTAACCTGGCAATTTCAAAAGAACACAGTAACTCTCCAGCAACTGTTACTAAAGAAAATGATATTGAAGAAATGTCTGACAAAGAACTTTTTATGTTTTCGTTTACTTATCTGGTGTGTGTTTTAGCTAAACTAAGAAAAATACAGAGAAGACTTAAATCAACAAAATCGAAGATGAAAAGGGATGCATTACAACAGACCCCGAAGAAATGCAAAAGGACGTTTAGATAGATCCAAGATGGCAGATTGGAGCACTTGGCACTCACTAGTTTCTCCTGCAAGTGAAACCAAAACAACTGGAGAACAGCCAAAAAAGTTCAGGCAAGCTTGGGGAAACTCAAGAGACCGTAGGCAGTGGACATCGGGCTCCCCAGAACTGATTAAGCAGCCACAGTGTAGAGAACATGGTCAGAGATGAGAGCGCGCCTGAGCGAACCCAGCACAGGAGTGATGCTGTGCTGAAATACACTTCAGCAGACAGTGATTGTGGGATCTCCACAGAAATCTGGCTCTCGGGAAGTTGTGTGTTCTCCAAAACCATACTTACGGTGACATAATGGGGAGCTATCTTGGGAAGATCCTGAACTTGCTTCTCTAAGAGTTGACGACTCCTGGTTGTTTTTTTTTGTTTTTGTTTTTGTTTTTGTTTTTTGTCACTGGGAACCCTTAGCAGTCAGTATTATACTGACTCAGCAGGCATCAACCCTGAGGCCCAGTTTGCCCTTGATGGAAAACATCTGATATGAACCCACTGAGAACATCTTGCAGTGGGAAATTGGTCTGTGACACACAAAGTAAAAGAGGCATGTGTCCCTTTAAGATTGGCAGCTCCGAAAGCCAGCTGGGAGAATCAGGAAAGAGAAGTTGTAACTCCCCACCACCACCACCACTTACAAATTAAGTGCCAGAATACCACAGCTGTGGAAGACGGATTGATGGGTAGGATTGCAATAAATTAGAAGCCTTCTGCACAGCAAAGGAAATGATTGACAATGAAGAAACAAACTACGGAATGGGAGAAAATGTCTTCCTGCTGTTCCTATGACAGGAGACTGGTTGACCAGAATCCCCTGGTCTTAGGGACCCCAAGGCCACCATAGGCAGCTGTCAGGGAGGCAGATCCTGAACTTCTGTAACAGGGCCTCCTACCCTTCCTTAGCTTTCCCATCTGGGGAGGAGGGGGGCAGGGAGGGTAAGGGGATGATACAAATAGTGGACGACAGTGAGTGGATCTCTACACATCTTTTACCATGAAGTACCTTGCTACCGTGATACCAAACTAATAACACCTCCAGGGAGACTTTAAAGTTTGATTTAGTCTCCTTTGCTTTTAAATGAGAATAATGTTTTTGCACCAAAAAAAAAAAAAATCAACAGAGTCAAGAAACACGTTAACAATTGTTGAAACCACTGTTTACATTTAAATCTAATCAATAGTAAGGTTCATTCATTTCCAAAGATAATAAGACTCTTTTGCTGGCCAGACCTGAATCAACTTGTCATCAATATTTTGAAACTACTTATTGAAATACACAATGCATAGTTGTATTTGAAAGATATACTTAACTGTATCTTCATTGCTAGGTATTTCTGTCGACATGTTCATTGGTTTTTCTGCCATGACAGACCGAAAGGGCTGAAATAAAGAGAGAAAACTTGGTCAGCTCTGCCTACAATGGTTATATTCTTTAACCTAACTTAGATCAATACAGAATCCAATATAGAATCCCATTCACACTTCTGACTCGTTTGAAGTTGTATCTTTCATCCTAAACAAGCTTGTGTGCGCTCAATAACAAAGTCAATATATAAAGTAACATCACTTGACAAACAATATACAAAACAGAGAGAAAGATAAACTCGCTTCAAATCAAGACGTGACAGAGATCGTCTTTTTATGGATTGCGTTAGCTAGCAGTGAATCTCACTGTGACATTCCATCCATACGTTAACACTATACTCAGTCCTCCATTCCAACAGCTTTGAGCATGAGAAAAGGAAGGGACAGGTCAAGAAGAAAGACACTCAGAATGGCTTCAGTTCCAAAGGACCTTACCACTGAAGCTGGAGTATAAGCACCCAGAGGCTGAAGGAGAATTCTAAAGGGGTGAAATTAGGACGTTGATGAAGGAAAACAGGCTTTTAAAATCGACACGAATTCTTTAAGAACCAACCCAAAGACAATTTTTTTTTCCTTTACGAAGCACCTTTATGCACCAAGCATTGTGCTGGGTGTTTTACCTCCTGCAGGACTTGAAGGACATCTAAGATCGTCAGACCCAGAAATCTCAAGTGACTTACTTGCCCCGGGCTTCAGCCGCACGATGCACACAGTCTGAAATGACTCTGAGGCTGATGTGCTCTCCCTTGCTATCTGCAGATTGGAACCAAACTGATAGGCACTGGATTTGTAACAGCTGAGAACAAGGGAGTTAAGGTACGAAAGAGCGTGTTGTTCTGATTTCTAAGCAGAACGGGCTGAGAAGGCCACGCTACCCCACTTTTGAGTACAGCGCAAAGATGCTAAGCCTATGCGGCCTTTGAAAAGGATTTATGTGTTTTGGGTTTATGCATTTGAGTGTCTTGCCTGCACGTGTATATGCGTGCGCCATGTGCAAGCCTGGTGCTCTAGATGTCAGAAGAGGACACTGGATGCCCTGGAAGTGGAATTACAGACACTTGTGAGCTGCCATATGAGTGCTGGGAAAGCCAGGTCCTCTGCAAAACCAGAAAAGTGCTCTGAATTGTTGAGCCAGCTCTACAACCCTATAAGACATGTTTTTAAAAGAAATATTATGTGTGGGCAAAACAAAAACAAAGAGTAGTTTTGTTTCATCTGACATGCCTGGGGATTATGCACCACTAGTACATAAATTTGTCTCATATTTCCTTCATGTTAAACAAGTTTCTCTCACAAATGGCCTCTGTTCTACCGTACGATTCACTCTAGCACATGTGTAATTTCTGTGTGTATTTAGTAGAAACTTAATGTTGGCCATTGTCATGATTTTTCAGTCCTTCACTGAATCAATAGTTTCAAAAGCTAAAAATGGGATTGTTCCATAACTTCTCATAATGTAAAGTTAAGTGCCAGATTTGGTGGCAGATGTCTATAACCTCAACACTTGGGAGACAGAGGCAGGAGGATCAGGAGTTCAGGGTCATTCTCCAGTATTAGTCCATGTCACGGTTAGGGTTGCTCTTGCTTCAATGAAACACCATGACCCAAAAGCAAGTTGAGGAGGAAAGGGTTTATTTGGCTTACACTTCATATTGCTGTTCATCATCAAAGGAAGTCAGGACAGGAACTCAAACAGGGCAGGAACCTGGAGGCAGGAGCTGATGCAGATGCGATGGGGGTGCTGCTGCTTATGGACTTTCTCCTCATGACTTGTCCAGCCTGCTTTCTTATAGAACCCAGGACCACCCAGCCCAGGGGTGGCACCACCCACAATGAGCTGGGCCTTCCCCATCATTTGCTAATTAAGAAAATGACTTACAGGCTGGCCTACAACTCTAGCTTATAAAAACATGTTCTTAATTGAGGTTCCCTCCTCTTAGATGACTTTAGCTTGTGTTGAGTTGACATAAAAACGATCCAGCACAGTCGGTTCGAGTCCAACATGAGCTATCTGAGACCCTGCCTGAAAAAATAAATTTTTAAGTACATAACTACAAGTTGAAGGGTGACTACCTCTGCACAGTGGTGACATTATAGTAGGTCTGCTAAACTAGAAATGTAAGCTTGTATTTAAAAGCTTAATTCCAGCCGAGCGGCGGCGGCGGCGGCGGCGGCGGCGGCGGCAGCAGCAGCAGCAGCAGCAGCAGCAGCAGCAGCAGCAGCAGCAGCAGCGGCGCACGCCTTTAATCCCAGCACTCAGGAGGCCGAGACAGGAGAACCTCTGTGAGTTCGAGGCCAGCCTGGGCTACAGAGTGAGTTCCAGGATAGGCTCCAACGCTGCAGAGAAACCCTGTCTCAAAAAACAAACAAACAAACAAACCAAAAAATCCAATAAACACCAACTTTGTCTGATTAGAAAATAACAAATGAATAATAAAAGCCTCATTACCAATGCCTTGAAGAAATAAAGGTCTTTTTCTAGCACATAAATCTAGAGCAGAAGAGGACTGGAGAGATGGCTCAGTGGATAAGAGCATTTGCTGCTACTCCAGAGGACCCAGGTTCAGTTCTCAGCACCCCAATCAGTCAGCTTACAACGCTCTGTAACTCCAGCTCCAGGTGATCCAACACCTCTGGCCTCCATGGGCACCTGCACTCATGTGCACATACCCACATGTAAACAGAGAGAGAGAGAGAGAGAGAGAGAGAGAGAGAGAGAGAGAGAGAGAGAGAGAGTTAAAAATAATAGAAAATATCTTTTAAAAATATAGAGCAGAACTTCTCAAAATATGATCACCGTGCTCTGAGAAATTCCTAAGGTTCTTTTGGGGTACCCATGAGATCACTTGTTCCCCCTAACAATGCTAGGCTAGGAGTTGCCTTTTCCACCACGATGAAATTTACACCCGTGATTCAAAAGCGATGGTGGATACAATTGCTATTGCTATTACCCACCGGTGCCTGCCAAATTGTGTTATTGATCATCTTGTTATTTACTACGTGGACTGAAAAGAAGAAGAGCAGAGTGAGTCATCATAAAGCACTTCTGTCCTCTGCCTAGGTTGATGGTGTCTGGAGGGCAACCATCATTGTGATGGAGTTAGGACAAAAATAGGAACTATTCAGTGGGTCCATTTCAGGCACTTTGCAGTTTTCATTGCAAGGGCAATTGTCAGACACTTGATTATTTATTCGGTCTAGGGTACTTTGAAGACAGCTTCTTGGGAATTGAATGTGTTTTGTAATCTAAAGGAAAGTAACCACCGCAGGCTTCAGTGACCCACAGCAGTAAACCCAGTCAAGGCTAGAGAACTGAAAGTTGAAGCCAGTTTGAGAGTCTTCACGAGTTTTAGTTGAGATACTTCGTGGGCTGCGGAACAAGACTCTGGGAAAAAATGGAGGAGGAAGGGAACGAGAGGTGAGAATCCCAGACACGAGATCAGAGGCTCCATCATCCATCACCTCCTCTACCACCATGAGGACTCCATTCTAGAGCTGCACTCTGGGGTCCATGACCCTGGAAGACAACTGGATACCAACGCGAGAGGAAGCTTGTGGGATTCAGAAACCCGACTCCCGCCGCATACAGAGAGAAACCGATTATCCTGGCATCTCCCTTTCTTGCTCCCTATCTGTAAAGAGAGGGGAGGCTGGCTCCCTTCAGTCGGGATAAGCTCACAAGGGGAGTGTGGGAACACACTATCGGGACAGAAGCTGATGATCCGGGCTCTGGGGGAGTTTCCAAAGCCTCACATACTGGGGAGTTATCGAAACAGGCACAATTGTCTTACTTTGGGAAAAGATCTCTCAGCAAAGCTCCAGAGTGCTGAAGCCAGAGCCCCCTTAATAAGGAAGTCGTTGTCTGACTCTGAACTGCACTCTGAACACCTGTCCCCCACTTTTACCCCCTCTCATAGATTACATCCCGACCACAGTTATCCACCGCACCCCCCATCCACTCTTCCTCCATTTCCCTTCAGGAAAGGGCAGGCCTCCCAGGGATATCAACCAAACACAGCATATTAAGTTGTAATATGACTAGGCACCTACCCTCTTATTAAGGCTGGATGGGGCTCAACCCAGAGGGAGGAAAGGGATCCCAAAAGCTGGAAAAGGAGTCAGAGACAGCCCCTGCTCCCAGTTAGGAGTCCCACAAAAAAGACCAAGCTACCCAATAACCTATATGCAGAGGGCCTAGGTCAGACCCAGGCAGACTCTCTGAATGTCAGTTCAGTCTCTATGAGCCCCTATGGGCCCTGGTTGATTGATTCTGTGGGTTTTCTTGGACAGTCCTTGTCCCCTCTGGCTCCTACAAGCCTTCCTCCCCTTCTGCAGGCTTCCCCGAGCTCCACCGCCTAATGATGGGCTGTGGGTCTCTGAATCTATCTCCATCAGCTGCTGGAGGAAGCCTCTGTGCAGCTATTACACAGTGGCCCACACCTTTAACCTCAGCATTCTGGAGGCAGAGGTCTGAGTTTGAGGCTAGCCGGGTCTACAGAGTGAGTTCCAAGACATCCAGGGCTACAGAGAGAAACCCTGTCTCAAAAAAAAAAGAAGGAAAGAAAGAAAGAAAGAAAGAAAGAAAGAAAGAAAGAAAGAAAGAAAGAAAGAAAGAAAGAAAGAAAGAAAAAAAGAAAGAAAGAAAGCGAAAAAGAAAGAAAGAGAAAAAGAAAGAAAAGAAAAGAAACCCCTTGTATTAGTTATTTTATTTTCTCAACTAACAAAAGCACCTTAAGGGTGGATTGTTGTTGTTTTTGACTAACAATCTGAGAGTACAGTTCATCATGGTGGGTATAATGGTTTAAATTAATTGTCAACCCAACAGTTCTAGAACCACCTAAGAAATGAGCCAATGGTCATGCCTGTGAGTGGTTATCTAAATTACATCAGTCTGTGTTGATGCCTGTACAGTATTATCTAGCTGAGCTTGACCTTTGGAGCATTCCTGTAGAGGTGAGAAAACCACGTAAAATTGGGCCATGCCATTCCCTAGCCTTAGGTCCTGTGATCCACAGAAAAGAGGAAGCCTTGGCTACAAGATGCAAGGTGACCATGACCTCACACAGTGAGCCCAAATGAACACTTCCTCCCTTAAATTGCTGCTAATACAGCAGGGTGTTGTATCACAGCCACAGAGACAGTAAGTAATGTGGAAGGTGGTGTGGGGAAATGGAACAACGGCTGTAATAAAACTTGACCATGTGGTTCTTAGGCTTTATAGGAAGAACGTGTTAGAGTTTGGAACTGGCAGCTAGAAAAGTCCTTGACTACTGTAAGCAGAGCCTAATGAGTCATTCTGGTGGGAGCTTGGAAGACAAGAATGTTGAGGCAAAGATAGACAGTGCAGGTCCATCTCATGAGGTTTGGGAGGGGATTAAGGACTCTAAGAGGAACTGGGCTAGGGGCTGTGAGTGTGACATCTCTGTGGGAAAAGGTTTCCCTAGTGGAAATGTCACAGCTCTGAATGGAAAGGTATCCTGGCAGCCAGGAGCCAAGGAATACCACAAAGTCACAAAACAAGCCTCACACACGAGATTCATATTGGGAAAAACACCACCAAAGGGT